ATTACCTTAAAATTTTATATGTCATTTATTCTTTTTTATATTTTTCAAAATTTTATTGGTAAGAAAATATGATTTGTTTTTCGTTGTATATTAATTCTTAAATAAAAATATTTAATAATATAAACATAAAATTTTATAAAATGTTTTGATATTTTTTTTAGAAGATTGCATGAAATAAAACAACAATTAATTTCAATAAACTTGTATAAAAATTAATTAACGAATCTTTATTAACTTTTTGAAAATATGTATATTTGATTTATATATATTTATTTACAATAAAATCAATAATATTAGAATAAAAAGATTTATTTGAATTGTTAGGTTGTTCTTCTAAAATATTATTTTAATTATTTTATTTAAAAAATAATTTTAGAATATTAAAACTAAATTAATAACAAATAGTCGATTTTATGTGTGTATAGATGAATAGCTACTTTAAAATAAAATTAATGATATCAATGATTGTTTTATACATTACAACCATGCTAAGTAAGTGAGAGTGTGTAGTATAGATGAAAAAATATTTTTTAAATAATTTAAGTTGTAAAGAATATATTAAAATTAATAAAATGTAATAAAAATAATTAAAAATTTTATTCTAAGAAAAATTGATTATATCAAGAATAAACAAATAAAACAAATCAATTCTATTATTTAATCAATTATTTATTTTTTAAAATAAACTTTTATTAAAAAATTCATACATAGAGAAAAATAGATCATATTTATTAACAAATTAAATTACATTAAAAAAGGAGAATAAAAAAAGTATTTTGATGAGAATTTTCATAAAAAATAGCAAATTGAAAATTGATATATATATAATGTGTGTGTTAATTCAAATATCTGAAAATATGAAGGGTTAAAAATATATTTTAAAAACATGAGGGATCAAATAAAACAAAGTGAAAAAATGAAGGTCCAAAAGATATTTTAAAAAAAACATGTGGTAAAAATATGAGAGACAAAACAAAGATTTGAGAAATATCAAGTATCAAAATAATTTGTACGTGATTGTACGAAAAATTAGAAAATTACGAAAATATCACTATTTAAAACTATCGAAATTGTCAAATCAACAATGACAGTGAACAGTAATTACTATTCATGTTTTCCACGTGTTTTGGTTGTTTTTGTTAATCAGGCCCCTAGTCTATAAACGAGCAATCTTGACTCTGACAGCAAGGATAATTATCAGCCCAAACTCAGTTCTCACAAACTACATCACACCAGTCACCATCCTTATCAATAAATCCTATCCGTCCGTTATCTTTTTCAGTCAATACTGATGACGCAAGTACAACGTCACTTCGTGTAGAAACTATCAGGCCTACCATTCTCTAGACACGTAAAACCAGAGTCTATAAAGGAACAATTTTGACTCTGATTCGAAGGATAATTATCATCCCAAACTCAGTTTCTCGTAAGCAACTTCACACCTGCCACCATCCTTATCAAGAAATCCTAGCCGTCCATTATCGTTGTCAGATTATCAATCAATTCTGATGAAGAAAATACTACAAGTCCAAGTCAGGAGACACCATGTAAGCCAATGCCACGAGTAAAGCAAACCTCTACTCCCCACCAAATCAACCAAACAAGTGACAATTTAATATTTAATCTCAGATTAAAAAAGTTTTCAAATTAAGGATGAAGGAAAAAAAAAAAAAAAGGATGAATTTGGCTGTAGGGAGGAGGAAAAGAAGAACAAGAAAAAGAAATAATTAAAGAAAAATATATTGGACACGTGCCAGCATTTTAGGCTATTGGTGGTTTTCAGTTAAATAAGGATCCAACAAAAAAGAATTTAAAAAAAAGATATTAAGATAAATAAAAGTAGAGAGAAGAGGAGAATATAATACAAGCTAAGAAGAGAGAAAAGTGAATGGGATTTTAATTATATTTTAACTATTTAATTCTATACGCAAAACATTGTTTTCGCTTATCATGTACAAACTTCATAATCATTTATAATTCTACAACTAAGTCTTTTCCTTTATCAGATAAGTTTTTGTGTTTTATAGTATGAATTAGAGGAATATACAATTTTTTTCCGAAAATCTAAACACCAAGGGAACATAACTGTCATAATTTTTTGGTTCAGTTGATTTTATCGTTGTCCCGAAAAATACATATGAAAAATTGCTTCTGAAAAAAAAATGCGGATTATTAAGGATTTAAATTAAATACAAAATAAAACAGTTCTTTAGTCCAGTCCAGTGTTTATCAAACACAGGACAAATACAATTATTTTTTGTTGCGAGTAAGTTATAAATCAGTCCCTCTATTTTTATTAAATAAATTAAATAGTTTATTTTCTTACAAAAATAATTTATCATTTTTTAATCAGTATTAACCATACTTAAGTTAATATTGATTTATTTTATAAAATATCTTATTTTCTCACAAGATTTCCATAACATCTATTTATTTTTTTATTCCTTAAAAAAAATTAAAACTAGATAAACTATTTAAATGGTTTTGCAAAACTAGAAAGACTAATTTATAATTTACTCTTTGTACAATCGAGTTCATTGTTTCAAATACATCTTAATAATTTGTTCACGCCACAAAAACTCACACATTATCTGTGCAAACCTGAACTGGAGTGCTACAGAAGATTTGTATTCCCCCAGTCCCTTTCTATGCAATATAAAGAAACCATCTTCACCGTGATAGGAGGGGAGTAGGATCAGGATTCAGGATGCAATTAAAGGCCGCCCAGGTAAATCTAGGCTACACTTGGGATTTTTATGGATGGGGTTTTCAAGTTGGGCTACACTTGCATTTTTATGGATGGGGTTTTGTTGGGCTCACTTGGATTTCTCATAGCTCTTCCATTTAACTTTTCTTAGCTATCAAAGTTTAGATTGGCTGATATGGCCCAAAAGCTTAAACTTACTCTAGGTTTTATGGTAATTAGGTAGATAAATAAATGATTATATTTAGATAAGTTTATAGCCTAGTCAAACTTGGAATTCCTCACTTAACTAAATCAAAACGGCTAATCTCATAAACAGGAAATCACTTCTTATTGCAAAACAAAATCTTTTTTTCCTTGGTTTCTCATAATTTACATGGATTTATGTAGACTAAATATACATTTCATGTTTTATTTTGTATCGGAGATTATCTATTAGAAAAAAAGATGGATATTAGATGAAAAAAATTATATGATGTATAATTAATTATCTAGATTTCATATAATTATGTTAAAAGTTGAAATATCTTTTGAAGATGCAATATTTGATCAATTTAGTTTGTAGCTGAGTGGTAATGATCTCTTGTAACAAGAGGTTATGAATTCAAATCCTAATAGAATAATTCTATTAAAAGTTTTAGATGTATGAATTAAAAAAAAAAAAAAAGTAATCTTTGGGTGAAAGCACGTACACCAACAGTATTTTGAAGTGGATGCAAGTGAATAAGATTTAATTGGATATGAATGGCTTAAGCAAAATGTTGGAGAAAATGCAGTTGCGTTCAGCTAATTGATTGGAGTGGAAGTAAATTGGGCTAAACCTGCAGTGTCCTTTTAACCTGTTTCTGTTACTGCTCGAGATTGTGCTTAATTTACATACAAAAACCACTGTCTCCACCCCAAACTCCGTCTTAGATGCTCATCTCCTTATCATGGCAGAGAAGGTTTAGACAGGCTTTCAATGATTCGTCATCCAAACAGGCTGTAGAAGCGAGTCCCTTCAACAGCATAACCCATCACAGGAAGTGACCTCATGGTATTGCTACCTAGAGTCCAATTCTAGACAATTGGTTATTACCCAGGAAACCAGATTATTACCAAAAACTATTTAATCCCACATCACTTGGACGGCTGTCAAGTGTCAACTACATCCGTGTGGGCTCAAATCCAGATTCTTTGGATCCTGGAGCTTTCTACACTGGCCCAAATGTCCATCAAAGGTACTGCCACAAAGAATACAATTATATATTAATTACGCAGATTAAATTGCAACGCTCTCCTGTAATGCACAATTAGATGTTCCATCCAATTATTATTTAAGTTTTTAATTTAGAGGGTCTATTTTATGTAATAAAATTAAGTCGGTTTTCAAGAATTTAGTGTTTAAATGGTTCATGTTTGGAAGACTCAATTGAGGATTTTTAATAATTTGAGGATGTAATTGAGAAAAAATATGTTTTAGAATCCAATTGAGAATTGGCCTATAAGTTAGTAACTTATGCAGGGCTATCCCTTTCGAAAATTACAATTCAAAAACTCCGTCCATAAAAAATATCAATGTTCCAACAAACAATTCCAAGTGAGAGATTTCGAACCTCTCGTGTCAGTATGTCCATCTATAATTAATTTCATCGCACAAATCTTTGTTCCTTCTGCAACCGTGTGTAAAGACCAATCTACCATGTGAAAATATTAACGCATTGGATATGGTTATTCATTCAAACCACTTAAAATACAGCCAAAACCTCGCAATGAATCTTTTTTCAGTCATCGCTGCAACCGCTTAAAATAACGTATAAACATTTTATTGGAAGTTTTTTTACCTCATATTTTTTTTTCAAATAAATAGTAGTCACTAAATGGAAATTGTTTTGGAATTAGGTCCTTTCATGTAAAAAATAAAGTTCATTTTCATTAAATTAACATATAGACAACTTGGTAAAAGAGTAGAAAATGAATATAATGTCAATATGTACAAATCTCAAATAAAATGAAAACATTTCAAATGAGTTGATGGTTATGGTTAGTGTTTTTCATTAAAATAAATGGTCCGTGATTCATAAATGCCAATGCGTAAAATATTTCCACTACCCATTTCCATGGCCCTTTGCCACCTCTACCTCCATGTGTCCCCAAGCGTGTACAATCCATGCCCAGATGCCCTTCAGCCAAATCAACCACACTACAACAAATTTGCTAACCATGAAACTTGTCTGATTCATACAACCAACAGCTTCTCTCCCTCAAAAGCAAATAAGAAACTAATATTATAATATTGCATTAATTTTTCACTTCGATGGGGAGTGTTAACACAGATAGGGACTGTAATCAAGCTTTGAATCTCCAAGACAAACATGATCAAGAAAACAAGGGCCATCTTTCATTAAGAATCTGGGTTGAAACAAAGAAGCTATGGCAAATCGCAGGGCCAGCCATGTTCAGTTTAATGGCCTTGTTCTCCATGAACATGATCACTCAAGCTTTTGCTGGTCATCTTGGTGATGTTAAGCTCGCTGCAATCTCCATAGCCAATTTCGCAATTGTTGGCTTCAATTATGGGCTCCTGGTGCGGTATTATTTGATTTTCGGTTTCTATATGACTCCAAAACTAGGCAACTTTTTTTCTGTTTTCCATTCTATATATGCTCTAATCTTCTTTTGGGGGTGTTTTGGCAAATTTAGCTAGGAATGGCAAGCGCATTAGAGACATTATGTGGGCAAGCTTTTGGTGCTGAAAGATACCATATGTTGGGTATTTACATGCAAAGATCTTGGATTGTTCTATTCTTGTGTTGTTTCTTGCTCCTGCCATTTTACGTTTTTGCCACTCCACTTCTCAAACGTTTAGGTCAGCCTGATGAAGTGGCAGAGCTGTCAGGAGTGGTGGCCTTGTGGCTGATACCATTGCACTTCAGTTTTGCATTTCTGTTCCCATTGCGAACGTTCTTGCAAAGCCAGCTAAAGAATCAAGTGACTGCCTGGGTTTCCTTGGTAAGCCTGGGGATCAACGCATTGACAAGTTGGCTCTTCGTTGACGTGCTCCATTTTGGGATTGTTGGTGTGGCTATGGCTTTGGATATATCCTGGTGGGCTTTAATACTTGGGTTGTTCGTTTATACTTCTTGTGGTTGGTGTCCTTCTACTTGGACTGGGTTTTCCGTACAAGCCTTTTCTGGGCTATGGGAATTTGTAAAACTCTCTGCTGCTTCTGGCATCATGCTTTGGTATGTAGTACTGTTTCCTACAAATTCGATCCTTTATTCTAGCCGAATTCTTTAATTAAAATGATTTTTTTTTAAAAAATGTCTTTCAAAGTTTTGGATGCGGTCAAAATTTCTTAGTTTTGTCTTTTTTTCCCCAGATACAGTGATATACACCGCAATTCTAGTTGAGCAAGGCCATATATAAACTGATTAAATAAAAAAAGAAAACTTTTACCCATATATAATTCATATTTGGGTAATCATGTACGGAAGGCAATTGATATTGTTGTTTTATTTCCCACGCTCCACTCAGACAGTTAATTAAGCATTTGGTCTAGAAAAACATTTATTCTAAAAAAAAAGTTAAATATTAAAGATGCAAGGTTAAATGGGTGAAAATCATTATGTCTTCTTATACTATCCAGGTTTCGTTTTTAACATTTCCATTCACTTATGGTACAAATCAAATCACCTAATAATATTAGGACAAATCATCCTTTGACCAAGCAAATGATAATTCGTTGTTAAAAGAGTTGGATCAATTTATTTCAATTTGAAGTAGTGCTGGATTGATTTGTACAATAACTGAATAGAAGGGTTAAAATAACCAAAATTGGATATTACAAAATCATGAAGTGATTTTCACCCAAGGTTAAAGTGTTGAAACATTGTAGAGGGATAAAAATGCATTGAAATATCTCCTTACTTAAAGCCTTGATCAAAGCCTTGTAAAACGTTTCTATAAAAAAAAAAACATTTGATAGAGTTTTGCCTATATATATATATATATATATATATATATGTTCATTGTACTCTGAGAATTGTTTAGCTGATATCCTTTATTTATTTATTTATTACATTAATTGAATTTCTTTATTTTTTATTTTGTTTTGTTGTCGTCTCTCTGTTATAATGTCATTAGTTTATAAGAAGATGTGCTACTAACACATGTTATACTTGAGATCCTAAGGACTCAATCAAAACTTTTTAGAGAGCATGAGGGTTCAATCATAATAATTGAATTTAAACAGTACATGGATCAAATTATTATTATTATTATTATTTTTAATTTTTGTGTTATTGTTTTTTTTAAGACCTTATTTTGAATGCCATAAAAATGCACTGATGTGTGATATCAATCAGCCACATACTCTTACTTAATAAGTCCAACCCTCAATATATATATATATATATATATATATACATGATCAATTCAAAGTAGAAAATGGGATTTTTTTTTCCATAAAAATTAGGCATTACACCACATTTTTTTATTTGATGTAGATAATTAACTACTAGTCAGTATCATTCTTCCTTTCATTTTAATTTTAACGAACATATTTGTATTTTATTTTTTTCAGAAAAATTATAATAATTTAAAAATAATAAATACATATAAAACAAATTTAACATGTAATTTAAAAAGAGTACCAATATAATCATCAAAATAAAATTAAAAAAACAGTAATACTAATACTGAGTAGCAGTTTATTATCTACATATAAAAAAAAATGATGCAATTCTTAATTTTTTGAAGGAATAATTTTATTTTTTACTTTAAATTAATCAAATATATGAATTTTTAAATAGATGATCTTATAGAGAATTGGACTTATTAAGTAGGGGTACGTGGCTGACCCAAATTTCATACAAGTAAACCATGATGTTAAACCGTGCTCTTAATTGTACCTCGCTCTGGCTTTGATGCAGCTTGGAGAATTGGTACTATAGAATACTTATATTAATGACTGGGCACTTGAAAAATGCGACCCTTGATGTGGATGCCTTCTCAGTTTGGTAAGAGACGGTTTTTCTTTTGCTGTATTTATCCTTAGTTCGCGATTGAATAAGCCATTTCTAACTTAAGGATTCAAATTTGCAGCATGAGTACAATTGGTTGGGAATTCATGATTCCTCTGGCCTTCTTTGCAGCTACGGGGTACTGTTTTGAACCACTGGCTAGGTTAAACAGCTTTAGCTACTTGTTTTTTGTTATATAATTCTATAACACATTACAATTGACAACAATACAACATATTTTCATCCAGTTGATTTGATTTGAACTATCAATGAAATCCAAATCTCTTATTTTGTTAACATCAAATTTATCTCACCCTAATCACTAAAATGAAAATTTCTTTACATAGGTGCATACAAACACACACACATATATATAATCTCAGTATCATGTGAATCAAAATCATCTGGTTGGTGTATATATATGTATTTGGTATGCCATATTAATGTTTTTTATTTTTTTATTTTTAGTATGGTATGCCACATTGATGTTGTTACTTAATGCAGTGAATCCAAATAATTAATGTCACTAACTTCATCAATATGCAAAGCTCTTATACAAGAGTTCTAAAAAATCATATATATTTCAGGTTCCAGATAAAGGGTTACATTAGCTACTTACACTCTGCTAGTTATTGTTGAATTTTCACTCACGAAGTTTATCATCAAATTTGCAGGGTAAGGGTGTCAAATGAATTAGGAGCTGGTAATGGTAAAGCGGCAAAATTTGCAACAGTTGTTTCGGTGGCACAAACAGCTATAACTGGATTTATATTCTGCATACTTATCATGATATTAAAGAACAAGATTGCATTAGTATTCACTTCTAACCCTGACGTTATTCATGAGGTTGATAACCTCTCGCTCCTCTTAGCCATCAGTATTCTCCTTAACAGTGTTCAACCAGTTTTATCAGGTAATTTTCGAATTTTCTAGTTGATTAAAGATAATTTTCTCCAATAAAAGAATTGTTTAGTTTTCTAGCTGTGCTACTTTCTGCTTTCTTTCTTTTTTTTTAAAAAAAAGCTTGACTGTGTCAGGAGCTGCCGTAGGGTCAGGGTCGCAAGCAAAGGTCGCATATGTAAATCTTGGGTGCTACTATATTATTGGGCTCCCTCTTGGATTTCTTATGGGATGGGTCTTCAAGTTGGGTATAAAGGTACGTAAGTTTACAAGCTGGGTTTCAACTTGTGATTTCTTATGCTCCCATAACTTTTCTTTCATCTAGCAGAATATAGAGTAAATTATTCTTTAGTCCATGGATTTTAAGTATGATTATAAACCAGTCCAGTTTCATGTTTGCAAAACTTGTAGTTTAATTGGTTAACCGCTGTCTTATCTCACGTGTTAATCTTTTATAAATCCCAAATGCACCATTTAATAATTAATGCATGTCCTTAGAAAAACACCAACATAATGGGGATTTAGAGAAAGTTCAACTGACGTTTTTAGAAAGACATGCAATGGACAATAAGAGCCAAAGGATTAAGTTATAGATTTTCGAAAGAGAATGACCAAGTAATAAATTGTATTGAGAATAACTTGTTCTTGATGAAATGTGTTCGCTTAATTTTGATATATAATAAAATCTTCTTACAAAGACTGCCACACGAATTATTAGATGATAATTACGGCCATCTTATTAACAATTATAAGCTGCTTTCTATTTTTCTCTTTTGTTGAGAAAAAAGTTGTTTTCTGAATTTTTCTTCTTAATTTTTATATCAGGGCGTCTGGAGTGGGATGATTTTTGGTGGAACTTTTACTCAAACTATTACGTTGGCCATCATAACAATAAAATTTAATTGGGATAAAGAGGTAGATTTTTATAATTAATGGCTGCTCTTTATAATTTCAGCCTATATATATATAACCTTTTTGCTTATTAACTTTGAGAAATTAATTTGCAGGCTGAAAAAGCTTGGGATCGAGTAGATAAATGGTCAGCATCCAAATCAAATGATCAACTAAAAGCTCAACATTGATTGAAGTCCTAATGGGGCTTCTTGTTATATTTAATTTGCGAAGTGTTATTGTGCTACAGAATTATGCGAAGTTTTTTTTAAAAAAATAATCTGATATTGTTAATGAATTAACGTTCCATTTACTACATCTATTACATAAAATTAAGAACGTTAATATTCTATTCGATAGTCTAATTGCACAACAATTTAAACTGAAAAGAAGAAATTAGCTTCTCATATTGATTGAAAATGCTAAAATAAATTATAATTTCATAAATTTATTGAAATGTCATTCTCTATAAACAATTGTCAATTGCCAACGAACGACATACCCTGAAAATAATTGACGCACTCAAGTCTGATTCATGAAATTTTAACGAAAGTATTGGATTTACATAATTGAAAGTGTAGGTATATCAAAAAGGAAAAAAATGGATTTGTTTGATTGAGAAAGGTGAAAAGTTTGTAAGCCAAAAGTGCAGTCATCTCTAAATGTTAGATGGTAATTTGATTCTTTAAGTTGAAATTGACATTAAACAAACAGATGCGCCTATAATATTTCTCATCACATCAGCAGAATTCACGGGCTTTTTGCAAATGAACAATTAAAGACAACTGTCTTTTTATCTTTATAAAAGTTACGTGGTACTTAAACATTTTAATGCGCCAATTGCACCTTCCACTTATTTGTATGTGTAAAAAAAAAAATGCTATACATTCAGGTAAAAATCATACAATTTACGAGGTCTTTGTAGTGGTAAAAAAATTAAAAAGCATATATTTTACAACAGTTACTCCCCAGTGGGAGTATACATTAATGTTTTTATTAAATATCATGGTTAGGAGTATTTCTTACATGTGATAGGTCTTCTACTCTATAAGTGGTAGCTTTCTCCAACCTTTATCCAAGCAACGGATAAAACAAACAAAAAGGCTAAGCACGCAACAAATCTAGACCAACCTTATTCCCCATTATAACAGCTAGCTCCCTATTAGCTACCTTGTCTCTAGCTCCCTAATCTGCTCGGTCTCCCAGTACATGATTCCAAAACCACTGCCAAAAATGAATTTTGATCATAAAATATTTGTTAACGTTGTGACAGATCCAGATTTAGGGAGAATCTCATCCATGGAAATTGATTTTTTTTTCTTCGAATGTAATCCAAAATGGGTTAATTAAACCAAACGGATTTTTGACTATTGGGGTCTGATTAGTTACCTTATTCCCCAATATAACAGCTAGCTCCCTATCAGCTACCTTGTCTCTAGCTCCCTATTCTGCTCGGTCTCCCAGTACATGATTCCAACACCACTGCCAAAAATGAATTTTGATCATAAAATATTTGTTAACGTTGTGACAGATCCAGATTTAGGGAGAATCTCATCCATGGAAATTGATTTTTTTTTCTCTCGAATGTAATCCAAAATGGGTTAATTAAACCAAACGGATTTTTTACTATTGGGGTCTGATTAGTTAGGTCCCTTTATAACGAATGTGATCAGTGAGATTCTTTTACATTCTATTTTGTTTAGTATTAGAATCTTCCGTCTATAATATACTATTTTTATATTTTTTGAAATATTTTAAATATTGAATTTACTTTTAAAGCATTTTTTTAAAATACGAAACAATGTAAAAAATCCAAATAAATCCTTCTACTAATAATTTTTTTTCACTTTTTTAATATTATTTCATAGGAGTAGATTTCTTTTTTAATATTGTATTATCTTTTTAATTTCTAAAATTTTCAAAAATGAAATTTTTTTCAATTTATTTTTTATTTTAAAAATTAAAAATCAGATCAAATTGAGTACATAAATATGTATTCACATCCAATAAATTAAAAAATTACCATTGATGATATAATAAATAGAAAATCCTTATTAATTGCAAAGATATCTAATTAATCAAACCCTGATAATAGGTACATACCAATTGTAATTAACTCGACCCAAAATAACATCAAATCGAAGAAAGTAATGCCAGCAACTTGATGAGACTCAAGCTTAAAATAAAAAATAGTATATATGTGAAGGGAACCAGAGGATACGTTTCGAGACAAATATTTACAAAGAAAAAGTTAAAAAGGAAATGGTCCCTCCCAAACTCAAAGGGTTAATTAATTACTACCCAAAATCCCCAAATTTCAAATACATACTACATTCTTTCTTTGAGTAATCATGGGAAAGAAAAGAAAAGAAAATAAAAGAAAAACTTTTTCAGTGTACCACATCATGCCATGATTCAAAATATTGTTGACACGGTCGAAGCTGGACCCCTGTCCAAACCTATCCATCCACCACCAGAATGGAACCGGACCAACTGTCTCAACTCGGCAAATCGTTCTCTAAACTGAGTCAACTCGCCGGAAGCCCCTGTCCTGCCCTTTTTCCCCAAACTTTTTAATTTACCCATTCCCCTCAACATTTCCATGATTTTCATTTTTGTCCCACTTATCATCTCCCATAAAGCATCATTTCTTCCCCTGTTAACAAACAACAGACGCAACCTCTCTTTGCAATCATCAAACCTCTTCAAAGTATTAAGTAACTGAGTCAACTCACTAAAACTCAAACTTGCCATTCTATCCTTGAGTTCTACAACTCGGATTAAAATCTCACGCTGGACTAATTTATAATCCTCGCCAGCACATCTAACCACTGCATAAACCAAATTATTCCTCTGAAGATGCAAAGAATCAGGAGCCTCACATATTACTTCAGCAAAACCGACTAGTACGTCTAATTCTCCTAACAAATCTTTATTCAATAAAACAGAAACCTCGTCTTCTTTATCCTTACTTTTATTGCTAGATGGAGAAGAATATAAGTAATGACCCAAAAATCTTGAAACAATAAAATTTTGCTCTATAACAGTTGCATACCATCTAACCCAAGATGACAATTCCCACCTTTCAGGATCCGAATATCGCCGAAACTCTGACATGTTAAGGAAGTTTCTGCCACCGAACGATGGGTAAAAAGAGAGCTGGTCTTTGAGAATAAAAGAGCCCCTTTTGATGATACTGTGGATAGTGAAGAGACATTTTAGGGCAACGGAAGGGTTTTTTGTGCCGTGTAGACGGTCCATGAGAGCTTCAACACATGCACATGCGGTGAGACGTGACCCACGGCCGAAGGAGATGACCGCAGCGATGCGGTTATCGGATGGTGGGGAAGAGGAATTGCGTGCGGTGGTGGCACGGAGGACGGTTAGGTGTATTTTGGTGTTACGTTTTGTTGATAGAGTGGCTTTGATAATGGAGGTGAGGCCTTTGAGGATGCCGATCATCGTCTTTAGTTTCTTGCGAGGGGCCATTGACTTCAGAAGGAGGTATAGCAGAGGTTAACGGATGCTTACAAAGAAAAGTATAAAAAGTTTTTACCTATATTCTGATTAAGGCAGTTGCTGTATATATGTAATTAGTACCTAATGTTGACACTTAATTAAATGTATACTTCTATCTTTTGGCAAGCGTGTTTATAGGGTCAAGCCACCATCGTTTTACCATTTCTTGTTTCAGCTCTTCTTTCCTCTCTCCCCTCCCCCCCCCTCCAACAACTTGATTGATCTAGTCAGGATGTCAAAATTATGGAATAAAATTTGACAAGTTACTTTAAACATTAGGTCTTAATTTCATCTTTATATCAAGGATTGACATCTCCAAAGGCATCAATTATGACCAGCAAAACTCGGTCGAATATTACATGACTCCTTCATCGACTAGTATTTTCACTTGGCTTTTTTTATCCACATCAAGGTTTAATCAGTTTCAGGCTATTTCTTACAAGACAGTAGTGGAACATTTGTAAGGGTATATTCACGGTTCAGTGCAACTCGCTTTCTGGCTTCAGTCATGATAAGTTAAGAGGAGTCCATGTCAATGGCTACATAACTTGTTCTCTCTCTTGAACTTTCCCAATATATTGGTATTAAGGAAATGTTTGGTACTGATGTCAAGAAATGAAAAGTTATTCTTCCAATTTTTATTAGGCTAATGGTTGCAGGATCCACCTACTCTTTATTTTGTCTTTATTATATATCCTTTTACTCACTTTCATCTTCAAATCATCCCATTACGTTTGGTTTTTGTTTTTAATCATGTTTTTTTTTAATATTTTGAATTAATAGTGTTAAAACACATCATTAGCCCTACAAAATTGTTATACAAGTCAACTTTTTTTTATGCTGAATTTAAATAAATAAATTTTGAAAAAAAAAAAAATTCATCAAAACAGACCTACTCTTCTCTCCTTTTTTCTCTACCAACTCAGCCACAACTTCTGGCCACCTCTTTCTCTCAAATCCAGCACAACAGTCCCAAATACCATTAACAAGCTTCTCTTCTCTCAACGCGACCACTCTTCATCCTCTTTTTTTCCTCCTCCAACCTAACTCTCTCTCTTTTCCTCTGTCGAAACAACAACAACTTTTTCTTCCTTCTTCATCGTCGCCGACAGCAATTACAAGTTTTTTTTTTAAAAAAAAATCTTACCTGATATCTCCAAGAGTCAAGAGTTCCAGCGTTTACTCACATAAACACCAAAACATCCATATCTCATTTGTTATAGAACAAGAAAACGCAATAGAAGTATCTGAAAAAAACTTGAATAAAATGGATTTTCCTCAAAAATCAAAATCTTTCCTGATATCTCCAAGAGTCAGAGTTCCAACATTTACTCACATAACCACCAAAACATCCATATCTCATTTGTTTTAATTAGAACAAGAAAACGCAATAGAAGTATCTGAAAAAAACTTGAATAGAATGGATTTTCTTCAAAAGTCACAAACTTTGAACCATTTTCAACGAATCTCACTAGCCAACCCATGATCCAAAAAAACCCACTTTTTTACAAACTCAAAGCTCTCAACTTTGCCTGAAAAATGTTATATTTGAAACAAAACTAGATTTACTCTAAAGACTTAAAAAGTAAGGTTTTTTTTTCCTTCTTTGTGCTGAGAAATGGCAAAAAAAAAAAAAAAAATTCAAAATAAAAAAGAGCCTCAAAAGTGATGACATTAGTAGACAGTGAGGAACACATAGAGAATTCGAATAAATAAGAAATGGTCCCAAAAAATGCAATCAAAGAAGACAACGAAGTTTAAACTTGTCAATCTAGAGAGAGAGAGATGATAGTTTGTCTATACTGTGTTAAAGAGAAATGGTAGTTTGTCTATATTGTGTTGTTGTTAACATTAACTTTTGAAGAAGATGGGACATCGCTTTATTTTTATGGCAAAGAAGACTACAAGAGTTGATGATTCTTTTCTCGCATGAAATTGTGCGTGTTAATTTATTAACGGATTAACGGTTGCGAGGTCTCTTTACTCTAAGATTAGAGAGAGAGAGAGAGATAGAGAGGTGGCCAGCTATCATGACTGAGTCGGAGCAGAGGGAAAGAAAGATGAGAGGATATTACAATGGCTTGTTTTTTTAAAAAAATCATTTATTTATTCATTAAAAATTAACACATGTCACAATCTTATAATGTTGACAGTGTTATTTAACATTATTAGATGACATGATAAAGATTAGTACTAAAAAAAGCGAAATGACTTGATAAAAATAAAATAAATAGTAGAAAGACTTTTGCAACCGTTAACCGAACTTTTAGTTTTTTGCTCATGTTTAGAATAAGTTAGAGGAAGGAGAAATCTTTATCGACGAAGAAATTTTTATGGAGGTAAACGATTTTAACTCCGATTTACCAAACAAAGAACAAAAAAAGAACCAAAGAAAGAACAAAGAAACAACATTTTTAACTCCAAATATCTTACCAGAGAAGGAAATTTTGGGGGAAAAAAATTATGGATTTTGCGTCCTTCTGTTGTTTTTTTCACCTTTTGAATTTAACGCTATTCTATTTTTTCCCCAATTATACGTTATTTAAAATTTGATGTTTACGTCTATTGGGATTTATCTTTTGATAAACGTTATTTATCGTTTTTCCTAAAAATTTTTAGGAATTTATCTGGATTTTGGTGCTGTCGTGGTTTTTTTCCTTTTTTAGTTGATAATATTTAATTAAAATAAATTAATTATACATGTATATATAATACGGATAATTCTACTAATTAATTAATCATTTGGAATCTAATTAATGAAAACCTAAATATATGTATGCACATGTGTGTGAGTCTTTCATTTTCTTAATGCCATGTACGTTTTCTCTTTTTGCTTCTTTATGCTTTCTTTGTTTTTCTTTATAAATTTTATTCAATACAAAATTTAGCATAATTTTTTGTTTGAAAATTTATATCCATTCATTTTTAATCACAAACACTGCGTAATTTTTGTATTCCCTTTTAAATACAAATACTAGTGCTAATATATTCATTTGTTGAATTAAATATATATTTTTTAATAAATAGAAATTATTCTTTTATAGTAAACCGCGACAATGCGCGGGTAATCAACAAGCTATTGTCCAAAAAAATTTAAACTCTTATCAAACATAGCATTTTCCCCTTAATTCCTTTTTACACCATAACACTTCACCTTTAAATTTTACTCCCCTACTATTTTTGTTCAATTTTGTTCACCCCATACCAAACAAAGGTGATCTTTTGATTTTTTTGATTCGATTTTTGATAATTTCGATTAACCAAACTTACAAAAAATAAAAACCAAATTCCAATAAAATTACTATTGGTCTTTTGGTTTAAAAACTAAAATTTCAGTTTTTTCAATTTAAAATGATTTTTTTCTTAATTTTTAAAAACAATGTATATAGACCAAAAACACCATCAATTTATTAAATATCTATAGCAATGTTAGGTGTTGATTTTTTGGTTTATTTATATTATTTAAAATTTTAAAAAAAAATCGGAAAAAAATTCAAAAAAAAAAAAACAGCTTTCATTTCAAACTAAACCGAACTTAAAAAAATTGGTTTCACCATTTTTTTTTATTTTTTCTTTTACTAAAAACCAAACCGAAATTGATATTTTGATTTTGGTTCTACTTAATTTTTTTAGTTTAAACCGAATAATGCTTACCTCTAATACCAAATACAATACGATAGAATCTTGTTTAAGAAAATTATAAATAATCCCTATAAATAGTCATTATTGTTTTAAAAACTAATTCATTAGTCCTTTGACCAGTGTTAACCATAGTTAATTTAATATTATTTTGTAGCAAAAAAGTGTCTTCTTTTCTCATTAATTTTTACTTATCTTTTTCATTTGTCTATTTGCTAAAATGAAAATAAAAATAAATTAAAGAGAAATGAAAATGATTAAGTTAATAATAGATTTAAATAAGGGCTAATTAATTAACGATTGAAATTAGAGGAACTATTTAATTTCTTTTGCAAAACTAGAGGGACTAATTTATAATTTACACAATTTTTATTTTTTTAGATAATTTCATTTCATCTACTACATTTGCGTATAGGATTAGGGGATATGCGGTGTTGATGATAACAAAGATAATAAACGGCAAACAAATGACATAGCAACAGAAAGGAAAAATCATTGGGGGGCAGTACCGTGTATCCATGGAATATTGGATTAATCGCATATTTTATTTTTATATTTTTAATAGTTTATTTAATTTCTTTACTTTAAATTTTTGTTAATGTGACTTATTTTATAGGATTCTATTTTTTATATATAATTAGTGACATATGAAATGACATGTTACATATACATGATATGTGATAATATGTGATGAGATTAATTTTATTATTTTATGTATCAGTTTTATCTAATATATCAGTTAATTTGTTATTTTTACTCTAAAAATTGGATGAAATCTTATAAAAAAAAGTCACATTAAAAAAATTCAAAAAATGAAAGAATTTGATAAATAAAAAAGAAAAGTAAAAAGACAATTTAAAAAAATACGAAGAACACAAAAGCGAATCATGATATTAATCTCTCGAGTATCTGTTGCCATAAAAGGTTACTAGACTCCTATAACGTTCTTAACAGCACGCCTTATTTTAAATTCGCGAATGGGGAAAACATACATGACCAAACGAAGAGGCTGGTCTCGCAAGAGAATATGGGTCGTTGACCTTGAAAAAAAAAAAAAAGAAAGAAAAGAAAAGAAAAAAACATCATTATATATGATTACCCCAGTTGAAATAAAATATTATTTGACCCTCCCAATAATTAACAGTAAATTTTCCAAATTGGTTTTGACGCGTAATGCATGGTACTTTAAAATTTAAATATGAATTAGGTGGAAATGTTTCTAGACATATGATGAGAGTAAATAGATCAGACCTCGCTTAAATTTTATTTTATTTAAAAATTTGTTATTCAACTTCTAATTTCAGATTTGATATCTTCTTAATTAATTTTTTTAGAGTCAGTCTATCTTATAATTTCTAACTATTATTTTTTTAAAAATTCAATTTTTGATATTTTAAGTTGACATTTTGCACACGCATTAAGAAAAATCCAATTCATTTTTTTAAAAAATTCAAAATTAAAAAATATTTTTTTTGAAATACTAAAGATGTAAAAAAATAAAAAAATAAAAAATGATCTAAAATGATCTCAATTTATTTAAAGAGCTTCATATAAATCTTATCCAAAAATTCCTATCATAAAGTTATTTACATGATCATTATCTTATATATATATAAAGCTAAAAGACCGACTAAATTTTCAAAATAAAAATTTTAGAAAAATCAAATCCAAAATTAAAAATTTAAAAACTAACTTTTGAATAACTGAAATCAGACGAAGATTTGATTCATTTAATAGTATAATAAATAAGTAATTGCAAGTTCCAAACAACAGGTTTGCTGATCTATTTGGAGTTTGAATGAACGAATGGCCACAAATTAAACGTGGCACGCCGAGGAATCAAAGGTATTGAATAATGTTTCAAGCCGCCAATGATGTATTTAATTCGATTATTTTAACAGATGTAAACACTATTAAATTAAGAGTGTAGAGCTAGCCAGTCAAATACATTGGCTCCTTCCTATCCAAGGAGCGTGAGGTTGCTTGCAATCTCCTCCAAGGAGACATACAGTGGCTCCTTCCTATCCTATAACAGAGCTCTTAGAAATGAAACACAGACAACGACACTAGAATTTCTAGGTCAGTTTTATTTTTGAAATCCAATGGGATTTTATGAATTTAAATTTAGATTTTGCAATGTCTATCTAGGCGTGAAACTTAACGGGCTTTGATTGGATTCATATATCTAATGGATTTTTCATTCATTTTTTTAAAGAAAAAATACTGGTTATATTCAAATTAAAGTTTCAATGTAAAATGAATTTTAATTATTGTGTGTATAAAAAAACATGTTATTATAACATTTAATATATCAATTTGGTTTTAAAATCCAAATATTTCATCATTAAAAAATAATCAAATAAAATAATCATGATAAAAACTTATATTAAAGGTCAGAATTAATTTAAATTAGAAAAGAGGTGTGACAATATATATGTGTGTGTGTGTATTTCTTCTCCAGGCACAAATTGATTGGTATGAAATAAAATTCTAGCGTTTTATAAGCAACAAGCTTGAAATGGATAAAAAATGAGATTGAATCAAGATTTTAAAAATTAAAACACAAGTATAATAGCAGTAACAGCTTGTTAGATAATTATTTTTTCAAATTTTTATAATATTTTTTACAAAAATTTTTTCAGACATGAAAAAAAAACTTATCATGTAATTGTTTAAGAAAATAATCGTCAATGTCAGGAAAAAAAGAAGAAGTATAAAATGTTTCTTAGCATTTAGAGTATATAAACCCTAAATCTAAACCTATTTTCATATTTTTCATATTTTTTATATTTATTATTTTTTATAATAATATATTTATTAGAATATTAATTTTTATTTCGAATTGGATCATTATTGAACTAGATCAAAATAAATCCGTATTTGATTTATTTAATAAATGGATTAATATATTCGAATAATAATTGAATTTGAATCATAAAAATATAAGCAAGATTAATTTAATTATATCAGATTCAGATCAAGATTTTTTTAATTGACAGCCATATCTATACTTATTGACATAATTTATCAATATAATAGGTATTAAAAAAAATACAGGAAAAGATGAAAATAAATAACTACTGGCATATAGAGGCGTAAAATGGGTGGACTGGAGGCCCATACACGAATAGCACGAGTGCAACTACTGGATATGGGCCATATGCTTGCAGTATGGCATATTAATAAAGGCATAGTGTTTTCTTATGGCACAAGTACTGGCGTGGGCTTGACCCATAACAGCCATGATTCTTATCATACCCAATTTGGTTATTTCAAAACACTTTAAAAAGGGAAACCAAAAGGAAACAAACCGTTTGACTTATTTATTTACAGTTTTCTCATAAGCTCACAATCCAGGAGTCTTTGCTTCTTCATCTTCTGTTTTTTTTTTTTTTCAACTTTGGAAAATGAAGTAATCAAATCCCAAACAACAAAGAACTATTGTTTTTTTTTTTTATCCATTCTATTTATTTATTTGATTAAATTGACTAAATATTGAACACGTATTGTTTGAAATTTTAATTTTTTGGATTTTAATTTTTTTTTTTTTTTGTGGTTTTACAAACTTTCGTCCTCTTATAGTTTGCAATTTGGTAAATTATGTTCCTTTTTTTCTTTGGTTTTTTCCATCAATTTATGTTCTTTTATATATATATATATATATATATATATATATATATATATATATATATATATATATATATATATATATAATTGAGTATTAAAATTTTGAAAAATCAAATTTTCTTTTGCTTTTTTCCATCAATTTATGTTCTTTTTTTATTTAATTGCATGTTAAAATTTTGAAAAATCAATCGTAACTTTTTTTACACAAAATGACGATTATAATTATATAATATATCTTTTTATATTTTAAAATCAACATATATTTCAGCTTATATTACTCTTATTATTTAAATTTCATTATTTGAATTTATCATTTTTTAATGAAAATTCTCATTCAATTAATATTTTTTTATATGAAATTTTATTTACTAATATTATATAATTTATTTTTCTCTAAGTTTGAATTTTAGAAAAAAACTTAGAACATAATTTTTTTCTTTTTTAAAACATAAATTAGTAAAATATATACCATGAATTCTTAGAATTTTTAAATGATAGTTGCATATATATAAATATATAATTATTTTATTATAAAATTTTAAAAGTGTATTTTAAATAATTTATCTCAGTTCACTAGGTATGGTTAAGATGTATAAAAAAAATTATTGAATCGTTGATTTTATTAAAAATGAATTATATGTCTCCCAACATAATACAAATTATTTACTATAAATATTTTTTTAACATTATAGAACCAATTTATTTGAAATAAAATAATTAAAATAATTTTTTAAAGGAACCAACCAATTATTCAAATATTTTTTTAGGCTAATTTTATTGATTGTTTTGTAAATAAATTTGTATAGATCAAATGCATATATTTGAAGAAAAAAAATATTCTCACCGAGCATTAAATAAGAATAAAATTTTATTTTTTCATTGGTTAATTTTTATGCAAGTCTATACATTAATTGTAACTTTATTTTTTGGATATGTTCTTATAAAAAATATAATTTTGAATTATTTTTTTGAATTCTTAATTAATATTTCAGGTTTAAATTATTATAAGTTTTTATTTAAGAATCCCATAATAACAAAGAATAAATCATTTTTTTAAGCAAACATTTTATAAAAAACACACAAAAAATTAATAATTAAATAAAAAATTAATGAAAAAATTATAATATTTTGAAATGATTTTGTTCTATTTAATTACCTATAGCGTTGGACGGATAATTTCAAAAATTAATTTTCTCATCAGCATTAAATAAGAGTTTTTTTCATTTTTTCATTTTTGTAAAAGTCTATCCATTAATTATAACTTTATTTTTTAGAATACAATATTGTAAAAATTATATTTTTTAAGTTTTTTTTCAATTCTTGATTAATATTTTAGTAAAAATTATTATAATTTTTAATTTTATCTTCAATCCATAAAGAATAATGATTTAAGATTTTTTAAACAAAAAATTTATAAAAATATTAAAAAAATTAATTAAATAAAATATTATAATTAAAAAAATTTAAAATAATTTTATTTTACCGTAGTCGTGACGTAACGCGGGCAACCGGCTAATATTCCTCAATGCCAACATAACCCAAACAAACAGTCTGACACAAAAGAATTCTACAACTATTTTTCAAACCGCAAACAACCAGGATAATTATCTACCGGGTACTTGAACGAACTTGATCTGAAACCCTACTAGTACTAATTATGTTCAGTGTCCACTAAAAACGATGGACGACAGACAGGAATATCCCTCGTATACGAATACGATCCAAGCTGTTTTGTCCATGGAATTGATTGCTTTGCTGAAGCTACAGGTACTCTTCATATTTGATTCCGCGGGATTGTTTATGCAATTTGCCAAATCAGGTGCAGGACTCACAATGGTTTCAAGTGATCATGGCCCGTGGCTCGTTCCAATGGAAATTCTTGTTGCTTTGTTGTTCACCACTGCTCTTTGCAAAACAATCTTGAACTTTCCATTGGTCAATATCAGTAATTTTATTTTTAATGTTGTTTTTCCTGATTTTGTTTTGAGTTAAAATCATTTTCTTCATCCTTGTCTCAAATCTCTTATCTTCAATTCAGATCCCCAAATGCCAACACTCCTCTCTCACTCTCTTTCCAAAACCAGGAAACCAACAATCAACAGAATCCTGACCTGTCATAGATTTCGAAGGAGACGAGGAATCGGGTGCCAACCAAATCAAGATTCAAATACAACTCCCCGTTAGTTCATTGCCCTCTCTGGTATGGGAGGTGGTGGTTAGGTGGATCCCATTGCTGCCAACAATCCCACCGCGCTCAATGAAAAGCAGACCCTGACGTACTAGATATGTAATTCCCTAAAAACTCCAAGAGATGATGCATAATATCCAGACATGTCATTTGCCATGTATGTTGGAATTGTAATTTCATTTTTATTTTTAATCTGGACGGGGGTTCAACTTCTGACAAAGAAGTCTTGCAGTGGAAAGAAAGAAAAAAGAGAGAGCAAGATTAAGTTTTTGAACTCACTATCATACCTGTTATTAATATGCAAAGAAAACTTGGAAAGGCAACAATCAAAGGTTATTTCACAAATAAAAATACGAGGTTAAAGCAAATACTACAAAATTAGCACAATATTTTTTTTTAATTTTAAATAATTTTAAATTAAAATAAAATCAGAAAAAATAAAATTAAAAACAAAATTATATTTTTCAATTTTAAATGATCACTAGGCGTATTTATGATAAGGCATAAATTCAACCAACCAGGTTATTTTATTTGACACGAGTGGGCAGTGCAGTGGCTACGACATTGCCGCAAACTAAAGATTCTGCAGCCAAGATCCAAGGGTTCAGAGTCACCATTTACTGTTTGCGGGCCAGGAGTTGGAAATCACCTTTAAGCCTCATTATAATTATCTTTAATGTTATCAATTTGAAGTCATTTTTTTAGTGTTACTTGGTATATGGTGAAAGATCAACATATCATAAAATTTTTTATAAATTTTGTTTAATTTATTATATAATGGTTTTGATAAATTTTAAACATAAAATTTTATTAAAGCAAAACATTCTTTTAAGAAGTTGATATAAAATTATTTTTACAATCTTGGATGTATAATTATCGCTATGATAGTTTAAGTATTTGAATTAACATCAATATTTGATATGGTATTAATTTTTTTTATTAAATGTTCCTGAGTTTGAATTCTACAACTATAAGCTTTAGACTAAACTTTAATTGACAGCTTCTCTTCTTTAAAAAATAGATTATACGTTCAAACTCAAACTTGATTTATAAGCCATTAAAAAAAAAAAAAAAAGAACAATAGCCATTCATCATTCGTGTGTGTATAAATAAATCTCAATTCAGTCTTGAACTTGTATATCCAAATTTTATAAATTTTATCAAGTAGGTTCTAAAAATTTTCTATATTTTAAAATTACATCCTTTTGTAAATTTTAATTTTCATATTTCAAGTCTAATATGCATTTTTATGTACTAAATTGACATCAATTTGAAGCAAACTTGACCAAAAAAAAAAAAAGTTGATGAAAAATTAACACTTTTCAGTCGCACGTGCATATTTTACACTAAAATGGCTTTAATTTAAAGAAAGTTCGACCAAAATGTTGATGATTGTAATAGAAAGACCTGATTAAGAAGTTTTTGAAACATTTAGAATTAAATTGGTAAGATTTATAGGTTTGAGATTCAATTGAAAATAAAAATATAAGTTTGGGACTAAATTGAGATTTTTTTCCTTAAAAAACATATTACACAATGTTTTTTTTTTTTTCACGTCAACTGGTTTTCTTTTCTGTATAAAAAAAAAAAAGAAAAAAGAAAAGAAAACAGGGTTCCTCAAAATCTTCTTATATATGAACGAACAGTTTTTATTGTTTGAAACTATTAAGTGCTTCAAGGATCGTGAGAAAATCTTGCAGATAGTTTGAAAAAAGAAAAATATGTTTGTTTAACTAAATAAATCATCAGACCGTTTGAGGTGTTTTAACATATCAATTTTGCTCAACCGGCTACATTTGAAAAGGATAAGAATTTGAATCATTTGTCCAACAAACTTATCTAAAAGAAAAGCTTCTTTTAAAGAAAAAAATCATAGAATATTCATCAATATGACCATTGATTTCAACTAATTCACACGTAATGCTCAACAAAAACAACTTGGCCTCTGGACAGCAGGAAAGCTGGCTAGCTAGTGGCCCTTCCTTCGTTGGCCAACATCGTGGCGATTCTCTCTTTCAACTAATGGGGAATTAAAGAACACCCTAAGAATAGTTCAAAGTCATTAATCAAGCTTGCACTTGAACTAAGCAAGGAATCACTCTCTTGGACTTGGCTCTAATTTTTTTTAAAGCTTGTATAGTGTTGTATCTAAATTTATTTTGGGCATGGCTCCAATAAGTTATATAGAAAAAATGAATAAAACTCTTTAAATTCTTCAATGGGTTCTTTTTAACTTTTTTTCTTGTTGGCTCTACTTAAAAACTCACTGAATTTGTTTTGTTCAAGCCGTAGCCATCCTAACTTTATCAAGTCCAACACATGCATTAAACCCAACAGAACAGCCGAGGCAAAGCTATTGGAGATCCCTCTAGAGACTTAAGAGAAACCAGCAGAAGACGGACCTTCAATCGGCAAAAGCTGGGCACAGACGTGAAGAAATCCTATTTTAAATGGCTAAGTGACCAGTGACGAGTAATGTACAGGTAGTCAGGGCGGACCCAGTGAGGTAGCTAGAAAATAACAGAATTTTATTAACAATAAAAACACCATCCAGACAATTCGAAGCAACATAAAAAATTGCAGTTCATAAAATAAAGCACTGCAGCTTAAGAAAGAGGAAAAAAAAAAAAAAAGACTGCTACGGACTGCAACCAAGAAGAAAAAATTAGAACAATACCACATACAAACAAACTTTTGCAAAATTCAAATAGATCCAAAAGCACTTACATAAGTTTCACATTTGAAACTTGTTGAGCAATAATTAGTAGACAATAACTTGTAGGTAGTAATTAGTATACCGTAATTTGTAAACGATAGTTAGTAGACGATAATTTATAAACTCGTTAGTTGGTTTTTAATCTTTTATTCGTGTTTGCAATCATTAACATTTCTAATTTTTTCAGCATCTTTTATGTCCGAAAGCATTTATTTGTGAATATTCGTAGTTTTTTTTTTTTAATTGTAAGTCCATTAAATTTAGTATTGTAAAGACTAAATTACATTATAAAGATTTCAAGTTTATAATTGTCAAGTTATTGTTTATCTTATAGCATGTTATTCTAAGAATTTTGCTTATTTAATTTCTTAGTTTTTTTTTAAAACCATGTTGTTTTGATTACATATTAGATTAAGAAGTTTGAGTTTAAGTTATTCTATCTGCAATCTCACAACTCAACCATTTTGAGAGGTTGCGTGCCCTATAAGAGGTTTCTAAACCTATTGAAGGCTTTTTAATTCATTTTGATTTAGTTTGCTTATAACATAAAATCCTAAAAATATGAATAGGATTAGTTGTAGTTTATATTTAAAAATTAATTTAATTCATTTATCTATAAAATTGAGAGATTGAATACTTCAGAATGCGTCTCAATCATCCTTCATTTCTTTCGTTCCATTTTTTTTTAGGCTGGCACAAAAAAGACCCACAACACATAAGGATATTAAATTCCTAAGAATTCCCCCAGTCAGTCATCAAATCATTGTGTTCTCCTCTTTTGATTCGTATTTCTACACGTTTTAGGATAGAACACCGATGAGTTATTTGCATACAGATGAGCATGGATTAAAACATTAATTATTTTATTTAATTTTGGTATAAGTAGTTCTCCAACTTAATAAAAGGTTTTTGCTGTTGACATTGTAATGTAACCACATTCTTCTTGAATGGAACGATTTGCACCTTGTGACAATTGCAGCAGAATTTGTTCTAACAGAAACATACGCGATTAACCAAAAAGGAATGGATTAAAAAAAAAAAAAGGGGTCGAAGCAGGCTTAGAATGACTATTAGATGCTATTTCGTTAATCAGAAATCGAATAAATAAAATCTTAAAACTGTTGAAAAAACAAGAGTATTAAGAACCAAAAGGAAAAAACTGTGTACACAAAATTCTGGAAGTCAACCCGCACCCCATAACAATTTACCTATGTCGAAACTTGACTATCCGGCCTGAGCCGATCAAATGATCGTTCGCCCACGTCATTGTTGCTGCTTCTATTGCTATTGTCAATCCCAAGAAACAAACGATCAAATGGCGACCTCGGGAAATTCTTTGGTGGAGTAGCATTCACCCCATCGCTACTACTCACATCTTTTGACTGAACCAAACAGGTCCTATATACAAAAGGTGGGGTTGTTGTAAAACCCCAATGGTCCGGTCTTCCTTCTTGATCTAATTGTTCATGGCAAAAGAAGTTCTTGCTTCGCTCGGTTCCTCCACTTCGGCTCCTATAACCTCTTCTTGGACTCGTAGCTTTAGAAAATGCCACGCAACTTTTCGTCCGATTCAGGCGAGAGTTCATTAATTGACTTCGAAGCTCTTCTGGCAATCTTAGTGTAAATCTATCGCGATTCTCTTCCGATTGAATCAATGGATTATTAGTTGAATTTGATCTAAAAAATAATGCATTTAACCGCCAACCTGTTGACCATGATGGAAGTAGCCTATTTTGATTGACTGGACTTAATAAATTAACCTTTGGAGATTGCGTAACTTGTTGCGGCACCTCTCTTGTAATTTCATCGGCAGTATGAATTTGGACACGATATTGTGTCTCGTCAGTGACATTATTTTGGCTATTCGGTTCAACCAGGTCATTATTAGGGTCCACAACATGAATCGGAGAGAATGGCAAGTCACCCGGTTTGGGGACCAAATTGGCGCGGCAAAGCGGGCAAGTGACATGGGAGGTGAGCCAGGCGTCGATGCAATCAGGATGAAACACGTGGCTGCACTTGGGAATAAAACGCAGCGTTTGATCATCTTCGAACTCGATTAAGCAAACGGCACATTCTAGGGAGCCTTTACCAATTTTAAGACCTTTGACTGCAGAATAAAGGAAAGTAGGGAAGGTATCGATGACCTCCTGGTCAAGGCCGTGATATCTCCCCCAAGACCGGCGGCCTGCGCCTGCCAATGCAGCAGGGTTGAAGCTGGCCCCGCGGAACCTGCGATCGGCGCACTGGCGGACGTAGACGGAGAAAAATCCCATTAAAAAGAAAACACTTACAAGAACTACCATAATTATTGCCATCGACGGGTTGAATTTCTGGGCCTGCGTAGGATACGGGTCGTCCGAAATTGGTGGTGAAGACATTGAAGAAATATTTCCACTTCCAGACTGCGCAAAAGCAAACTGCGACGGATAGAGAAACAACAAGACTTTGAGGAGGACATGATCGAGGTTCGAAAGTTGGGGAAACGAAGGGGTGTGATATATCTTTTGAGTTGTCATCAGGAATGGTTTCTCATGAGTAATTGCTACTGTTTTGAGGTTTTGTTGGGTTTAATGATTTTGATGGTTACTCAAAAGCAAAGAAAAGAATAGAGGGTGAAAAAATCCTGGCTCTAATAAAGGAGAGAGCATCATTATAATTCAACCGTCCAAAAAAAAAAAAAAAGAAGAAAAGGTGCAAATACAGAGGATGGAGCTATGGCACAGAGAGGGCAGAAATTTGGACTATGGAGCGATGGGTGGGTGGGGCTTTAAAGAAAGAAAGGCTTAGGCCGGTTTAGGTATGGGGTTCTTGACTTTGAGTTTCGGGGACCCACAAGAAAACTAAAGGACAGATAATGAGTTACCACGTAGCAGTGGTTTGGTTAGTAATGGGTTGGGTTTGAGAAATGGATCTAAACACTACAGAAATCCATTAGAATAATCATTAATAATATTAATTCCAGCGCACAAATCATAAGATAAATTTAATCCACATAGATTTAGGTTGAACTTCTCAGTTGTTAATTATCAATTTTGTGGCCTCTACCTTTCACAGTCAGTTGTCGACCTTACCAAGGATTTGTAGCAACTAGCCAGCAAATGAACGACTGACATGCGAAACTGGGTTTATGATCAATTTTTATGCAATAAAGCTTCTAGAGGATTGGTTTTGGGTAATCTATTTTAAAAAGTTTAGTTTCATATTTATTGAATACCACGACGTTGATGAAACAAAGATAACTGGGATTTCGCTTTGCTTTTATTTAGGACAAAAACATATTTATAGTGTACAAGACTGTCTATAGTGCATAACGATATATACCTAATAGGAACTGTATATATTTTAGTAATCATCAATCACTGGCATGATTTATGCCAATACACCATATCCATTTGTTTAGGCAAATCCAAAAGGAGGCAAATCAATGACAAATTGAAGAAAAGGAAATAACTTGGATTTTTAAGGCTGAGCTCTACTCCAATCCTCAAGATAGGTTCAGTAATTTTCACTTCCAATCTCTTCCAAAAGTTTTCAGTTGGAAGACAAGAAGGTAACCAACAACAGATTATTATACAATAAAAAGGATGGTCAAACTATGCAATTGCTCATGAGGTTCGTGCCTGCTGTATTAGAATCTACGCTCAGTGAAATTTTACTAAACAAGCAAGACAAAGTTATTTTCGTGGCTAAACCACCATTAGTCAATTATCCCACATCTCTTACTCGAAGTTCACATGTATATTCGAAATGAAGACAAGAGGTCTTTTCCGATCAGGATAGCTAATTGATACTTTAGCCCAACTTGACGGGCAAGTGGTGATGAAAGATACATATCATTTGAAAAATAAGTGATAGCGAAAGGCTACTCGTTCAAATTTTATCTTCTATCATATCATGTCACGCACAATTTATTTAAATGGAAGAACTCTACCTAGCACAGTAACTAAATTAATTTTGTAAGTTCTTGTTCAACTTGAATTGCCTTGAAGAATGAGATTAATACAATAATATACACATTTCCTCAATCATGACCTTTTCTTCAATTTTTTAAGAATTCTCATATATACCTTCAGCCAAGCAAATTGCAACCCGATTTCATGGTAGTCACTATTTTCTTTTTTTTTCTTTTTCCTCTTTCTTTTATTAGTGTTAGTTTGAAAATTGATTGGTAATTTGTGATTGCATATGCATACATAGTTGACCTATCGAAAGAAATTCGGGAGTCCTATGATTTGGCATATGTATATTGGAAAAACAAAATAAAGACAACGAGAAAAAACGAAAAACATCTCACTCTGATGCATAAAAAAATAAAAAAAGAACAAAATTTCCCTAATGCTTGAATCGCAATATATATATATATATATATATATATCTATAGCTAGTGTCAATTAGTGGCCGCTAAGGTTTTTAAGAAATACCAAACATGTTACCTGCGGCAATAACCATAGATCAAAATTCCAAACATGATCTCAGAAGTCACAAGAATTATGTAGATGATAAGCAAAACGGGTCAAACTCAATAATAGAAGATCCCACTCCATAATATATATATATATATATATGCAACATTTTGGGAGTATGAACAAAAAATGCTAAAAGAATCTAATCACCTGAACTATAAGTAATTTGAAATTGAATTTTTGAATTTTTTATTGGTTTTGAGAATTTATAAACTTTTAATTTTTTTCAAATATAATCAATCATTCAATTTTTTATCATTTATCTCAAAAAATAACAATTATATAAATAGTTTTATGATAAAAATCATTAAGTGAGTTTTACATTTAGCTTCTAAAAAAAATTTGAGATTATTTCGAAGTTATTTTTTATTTTTTTTCTAATTATCTATATTTTTAATGTTTGAAATAAATAAATATTTACATTTTTTTATCTTGAAAAATTTTGAAATTTTTCGAAAAATTGATTGAATTTTTTTTAACAATACCAAGAATTAAATTTACTTAGAAGGGAAGATGATAACTAAAAATCATTGGATGGATTGAATCTTAAAAATTAAAAAATTTAAGTATCCTAAAAACCAATAAAAAAATTTTAAAAACTCAATTTCAAATAAATTAAGGTTCAAAAATAATGAAACCCTTTTAGCCACGAGCTAGGAAATTAATTCGAAAGTCACTACATTGCAAATATGTTGTATGCTTATAAACTACCATGAAATGCATACATTGTAAATGACCAATTAATCCATGTTTTGAAGATGATATACTATCATAATGTAATAAGGCATGTATTGTTAATTAACATATCTTGTATTAAATAAATATAAAATTATCAAATAATATAGATAATGTTGGATAGATCATTGACCACAGAACTTAATTTTTTTTTTAATACAACTCAAATCAACTATAAAATTCAATATATATACTTCTTCTTGTTCTTTTTTTATTTTCTTTTCGAGCACAAAGGCAGGCATAGTATTAATATGCGAAACATCTTGAGGAGAATAAGTCACGAGACTTGGCACAGTTAAGTAATTTTATATATATTAGAGACCGAGTAATGGGTACTTCCACTATCGTCCGTTGAGAAAGCGTTGCTGTTCTTGTCACCTTCAAACCTTTGAGTTTTATACGATTCTGAAGTTTTTTTCCTACTTTATTGTAATTCGTAGGAAAATTACATGATTGTGCTTCATGGAAACTGAGAATCGTATGATCCTTTCAAAGCTAAAATTAGAAAACCTTAGGGCTGGTCCCCTCAAGGAAAGAATAAGGAAATACGAAAACAAGAGAGGAAGGCAGAAAAAACAGAAAAATCAAAAGCCTTTAATATTGTAAAAAAAAGAAAAAAAAAAAAGAAGAAGAAGAAGAAAGAAAAAAACACTCTTTGTTAGTTGGCAGCTGTTTTTCTTAACTAAGAAAGGGTGTCATGGTCGTATTTTCAATTTTTTTACGATTAAAAATGACGGCCACATCAATTCGATGCTTCTCTTTTTCGCAGGGTCTTGAACTTTGATGCTTGTGAAATTTTAAGATCCAATTGATATTACACAGAGTTTTGTGGGCGATTAGGCGAAGAAAACACATTAGGTGAAATGATGAGAATAGAGAAATCCCCATGTAATCGAACATTTTGAGGCCTGCTTTCTTTCTAACTATAGGAGCGGCAATTGATCTAGGCTTACAAGCATCAGTAAATAATACTCCAACGAGAACACGAACTTTATAATGACACAAAGAACCCACTTTGGGTTGTACATAAAGACATCTGTTGGGCCTTGTCTTAATAGTATCCAATCAGAACATGAACTTCATTCAATCATTTGATGGACTTGTTGTTTATAAACCCTAAACTGAATGGAGAGAAATGAGTTTAAACCGAATCAATTCATGTAGTGGAACTAGGCCTCAATATTCGGGTCCAATCCAATTTTATTGCTGATGCGCTATGAGTAGACTTTAATGAGCTCTTATGCATTCACAATGTCTATAGATGATGTGGACCCAACGTGAATTAATGAAAGATGCCCGTGGTCTCAGTTGTGCGCCGGTTTCGAATTGGCGCAACGGCCCTGATAGGGGTTCGTAGATTCATGGAAGATTAATGGTTGCAGAAGTTTTTTTTTTTAATTTATTATTATTATTTCTTTTTTTATTCTGTTTTTTTTTCCCCATAAACTTATTTTTTTAAGTTTAGTTTTTGTCTCAGTCACATCATTTCATTAACTTTTAAACTAAAGGTCGTAATTTTTCTTTCTTTCTTAATTCTATTCTTTTACTCTATTTTCCATTTTAATTTGAAAAAAAATAAAAATATATCCAATCATTCACTCTAAAAATTTAAAACTATTAAAAAATATTTTTTTATCAAAAATATTTTTTATAAATTTGATTTATTTGTCTGATAATAAACAAATTTTAAATATAAAATAAAATATTTATAATACATACCTTTTATGCGGCTCCTTCTAATATCTATTTGTAAGTATAAATTGACTTCATAATATCCAACTATCAAATTAAATATAAAAAATATACTTTGCTAATAACCTTTTTTTGTGCTCAAAATTTTCTTACTATTAAATGAACAATTTTAAGCCTATAAATGATATTTTAGATAAATAAATATTTTTTATCTTCATTTTTTCTACTATTTTTTTAATTTTTCAAATTTTATTTATTTAATTTCGATAAAAAAGATTAAAAAGAAAAAAATTGAATAGAGGGATGAGATTGAAGATTAAAAAAAAAAACTAATTAACATCGTTAGTCTAAAAGTTAACAGAAAAATGAGAATAAAATAAAAACTAAATGTATAAAAATAAATTTAAGACAAGAAAAACATGATAAAAAAAAAGAAAAAAAGTAAGAAGAACTTCTGCAACCATCAGTCTATTTATGAAATGCGAAAG